AGAAAACTAGTCAAGTGACGCGGTTTCCTCTAATTGGTTCCAAGCACTAAAGCTCTATACAGTCTATTACGGATGAGAAAAAGTCGCAATTTGTTACGTTAATAAGTTAGTATTGTTTTGTAGTCTCTACATTTTTAGCATTACAAATTGGAAATTAAGTTGAAACTAAGTTTTGTTAGTCTCTACATTTTTACCATTATAAGTTGGAAATTAAACTGAAACTAAGTTTTTGTTACTTTTTCATGTCTTTATTAAAGAACTTTTAAATTTTCACTTCGAATAAAGATCAAGCAAACAGCTTTAAAGATTCAAATAAAAATCAAAAATAAAGTTATAAAATACATGATAGTCGCGGTGGTACATGTACAATTATAATTTTCATTATCTAAATTTTTTGTATGTATTACAGAAGTAGAAGTTTCATACAAAATAAATTTATTTACGCAGCTTGTTTTCCTTTTTCTCGTTTTATCTTTTTTTGTTGTTAAAAATACCTAAAAAGTATCTAAATTTTTCAGATACTTTTATGCTGTACCTGTATCTACACCCAAGTATGTTTAAAAATATATCAATACTTATATATACATAAATAAATACTTTTCCCACAAAATATCTATACTTATATCTAATACCTTTCAAACTGTATCTGCAATACTATATATAACTATATTTTAATTACATAAAAGTAAATATTTAATATATAAAAATTCTATTATTTCAGTTTAAAGTAAAAATTTCAATGTATTACTTGAAATTCCTTAAAAAACTTTAATTTACTGCTTCTTAATGTAAGAATTTCCTTGTGTAATTTTCTTTCCGTGATCAGATAGCAATTGTCTAATTGTCAATAAAAAATTTAATATCTACTGAAAGTAGCGATTAATTAATGTTTTAAGTGTTAAAAAACTAAATATAACAATGCTTTTAATATTTTGAAATGAATAATATTAAAAGCATTGTTATATTTAGTGTTTTTTTAATACTCAAAATAAATAACTTTCAATTCAACTAGTAAATTGGATTTCGATAAGGGTATTAAAATAAAAGAGTACGATATATTAAACAATATTCTATGTTGTATTGTTATTCAATGGAGAAATGTAGAGTAGTTAGCTTTGTTTCCAAGCAACGATATCAGCGATAATGTTTCTGTCCATCGAAACTATAGCACTACATGCCGAATTGCAATCCGATACTCTGAAAGCGAGTAATGCCCTTTCACTACCACAGTGCTCTTTAATGCTATCACAATTTCTTCGACAAATATATAGACTTGTAATCAGCCTTTTCAAAAAAAAATTTCGAATAAATTACTTAAACTTTTTTATTCGTACGGAAGTATAAATAATCTATGTCCATTATATTATAAAATTTATTTGATTATAAAATAATTTTATTTAAATAATGCAATCTATCCCTATTTTCTCTTTTTTTATGCGTCTTATTTATTCTGTTTCATATGTTATTTCATTAAGAATTCGAAATTATTATTATTATTAATGTTAGATACATTAATATTAGATTGAAGTATGATTTCTCAGGGGCATCACAATGTTGATCTGTAAATCTTTGGATCTCTATCTGCTTAACAGTACAATTATCGTGTTTGAATGCACAATGTATTGTGTGGATTTTGCGTGCGTACGTGTGTAGGCGGCTTTAATCGACCGATTTCGCGAATACAGGCAGCGTCGGTCAAAGTTAGGAGCCGGTTAACCCACCTGACCGGGGGGCATTACTGTTGCACTAGTGTGGTTGGTGTCTTTGACTCGCCCCCGAAACCGTAACCCGTTGGCGCAATCCCTAACCGTGCATGCAAACACCATCCCCTTCCGTTAAGATTAGCGGTCGTAGGAGTGAATGCATACGCTTTCTCTCTTCCCCCCCCTCTCTCTCTCTCTCTCTCTCTCTCTCTCTCTCTCTCTCTCTCTCTCTCTCTC